TGGTTGGCGGATAACTGGCCGACCAATGAGATTGCAAATTTTTGTGCTGCTGATAAGTAATACAATTTATCTTTTTTTTCTATTCCTATTTGAGTCCCAATAATAAAACTGGATTTGTTGGCTCACCAACAATGAAGTCCAGAACAATTTTTACAATGTTAAAAAGATCACAATTTCACAAACGAAATGACTCCATACACGATCAATATGACCAATATAAAATATAGACCCATAAAAACTTGCAATTTATACGGAACGAATGTACTACTTACTTTGGTGGATCGCTTTTTTGGATCTTCAACAAAAAAAAACCCTCATGGGTATGTCACCCATGAGGATTTTGTTGCGCTAAAAGTGAAAAATTTATAAATCAAATCCTAAAAAAAACTATATCTCCGTTATCCTTCATGTTACAAAAAAAACGTAGACACACTTTATAGAGAATATTGAATTCTCCACAAAAAAGGTTTCTGGAGTTTTCTTGAAAAAACTAATAGAAACTGAGATATTTGAAAAAAACAAAAAAATCCAAGATGGCGGCCATTTTTCTCAACCTTCCACCCCTAGGACTGAATGGGACTTTTGGGAGGTTGAAGAGGAGGTCAGCTACTAAACATTTCCGCTGAAATCAGCTTGTTGCTAATTTGTTACAGCCCCACCTATGTTATGCAGCTACGTTTATCCTACTAATCCTTCTAACTCCAATAGCAACCGAGTTCGATAGCTTTTTTCCACTCTCAACCCAGCAGCGGCAGCAGCAGCAGGGAACCGTAGAGTTCACCGTCAGGATTCTGCGCAAAATAAAAAAAATTGTGCGTAGAATCCGAAATTCGTATACAGGGTGGTTTCGAAACCGTTCTTGGGACGGTTTTTTTGAGGGTTGGAACAGACCTCATATGTACAACCCAAATGAGACACCCCCTATAGGTACTGGCTCTTGATTCAACTTATTACATACCTACCAATGTCCAAATATATTGTTCCGGTAATTAGATACCTGAATTGGTTCAATTGGTTCAACCAAGGGCGTACCCAGGATCTGAAATAGGGGGGGGGGGGGGCTGACCAAAAAAAAAAAACAATGGATTTTGCATTTCTCTTTTTAATTACTAAATTTTGACATAACTCGCTTAATTTTTACTTCAATAACAATTTTCTTGGATTTGTCGCAAATTTATTTAAAACTTGATTTTCAAATTGCTCTCGATTTGATTTAATTAAATCACGATGCACACTCATGAGACATAATCCTGTTAACCTTTCCTCTCCCATGGTACTTCTCAACCAAGTCTTCACTCTTCGAAGAGTACTGAAGGATCGTTCTACAGTGGCCGTGGTGCATGGAATTGTGATTAAAATCAAAAGTGCCCCTGTTTTAGGATGGGATAAAAAACATCGGTCTCGTCGAGAAGGTCAGTTATTTCGACGTCTTTTAGCTGGTCCTCAGTTGACTTTTTTTCCTTCCACAAATTATACCATAGGTCCATTTCCGCAGTAATATCGTCCAATTTATAAAACTGGGTAAAATATTGTGCATTTTGTTCTACTTGATTGGTTTCCATGTCGAGCATATATAATGGATGTATTTTTGTTAAGGCAAACGCTGGAGTATGTTCTTGAGAAAAGCGAATATTTAAAGAGGCTATAATTGAATCCAGATACGGTATAATTAACGAACGCTTCCAGTAGTCACTATCACAGTCTGATGGAGGATTGTTTCTATGTATTTGCCTCTTGGTAATTCGAGGGATAGAAATTTCTATTTCCAATTCCAATGCAAAGTCTTGTGCTTTTTTAAGTAATTCATCAATAACTAGGTCGGCATCTTCACGGTTTTTCTTCAGAACGTTAAGGATTACGTTCAGATGTTCTTGCAACTTAATTAAATCCATAGTTTTTGCTTGCAAGGCATTAACAACCGGCTCCAGTAAAGCTGAATATTTTGCAATTATAGTTAGGGCAACAATTAGTGAGGGTTTGGTAACGGCGGCATGCAACTGGGCTGGGATTCTGTAACGAATAGATATATTTTCGCTATCTCTATTGACGTCCCCTCTTTATTGATTTTGAAAAGAGAAAAGAAGACACCAAGTGTCATAGCGATATCAATACCGATGTCTATCTGATACAAAATTCCGCCTCTGGTACGCAGATTTTCTCGTGGCGTAGTTTCCTTCGATAGATAGTTTTTCAAGTGATTTCACAATTTCGAGGAAATTTTGTGCAAATAAGCGAATACTTTTGTATTTTTCAGACCATCTAGTCTCACACAGTCGTGATAGATTAGGAGCGGAACTTCTGCGAGTGGTGGATTCCCTGAAAAAGGTTATAACATCCTTTACGGTGCCAATAGTGTTTCTAATTTCCGGAACATTATTTGCATCATTGACAACAAGATTTATTTTATGGTTTGAGCAATGAAAAAATAATGCTCGTGTGTACTTTTTCCTTAAAATCGCTTGTACGCCACCCTCTTTGCCCGCCATCGTAGCGCAGCCATCAAAACCAAGTCCTACACAACTATGCGGTGAAAAATTATAGCTAACTAAAAAATTGTCTATTGCATTGGCAATTGCTGGGGCATCCTGTGCTGTCAGCTCCACAAAACCCACAAATTCTTCTCGGACTTTTTTTTTACTTTCATCATAGAAACGCAAGCCAATGGATAGCTGCTCCTTTCTTGAAACGTCGGCTGTCTCGTCGGCTAAAACTGTGTAGAACATGGCTTTCTTTGCATCATTTATCACACTCTCCCTAATAACTTCGCCACATAAATATATGAGTTGGTTTTGTATTTTTGGTGACGTATAAACAGCATTTCTACGACACTTTTCCAGGTGATTCTTTAATTTGATGTCGTCCGACTCAACTCGCAAATTCATTAGATCGAAAAAAACTCCCTCATCTGCTTCTGTTATAGTTATGTTATAGTAAGCTGTGCCTAAACTTCGTAAATGGTCTGATCATAAATGAACCTAACACTCCCCTTACTGTGCCAGTAGAAGGAGGAAATAAAACACAGTGCTTACACAGAGCACCCTTTAGTCGCTTGGAATACACTAACCATGGTGTGTATTGATCTAACCAAGCATAATTAAATTTTCTTCGCAAATGACTGGCATCGGCTGCAAAATCGTAATTCTTGGGTGGAACCCACGGATTTTTTAACAACTCTTTTTTTCTTTCCATCGTCAGGTGAAATGTTTGTCCTACATAACGACCCAAGTCATTTTCGTGGCAACCATCATTCTCTTCAATTTCGGGATTGACTACAGAGCCAGATGTTGACGGTAAAGATTCTAAATTAGGAGCAGTGACTTTCTTAGATCTCAAAGAATTTAGCGGTTGCTCAGATTCAGATTCAATTTTAGATGGGCTTGGCGATGAAATTTGATCATTGTTATCATCGCTCCCGCTGCTACTGTCATGTTCTTTTTTCCTCTTGAGAGTTTTAGTAGCTGCAAAACACAATAATGCCGCTATTAGTATTTTATACAGTGTGAGTGATATCCATGTTAGTGTTTTGTTTAACATGAAACATGGCAAAAAACATTTTGTTTTTTTTAATTGGAATTTACAGATATTACACAAATGTCGTCGAATGTAACTTACTAACTGTAACTTACCTGTTTGAAAAAATTTCCTGATATCCATTTATCAGTGTGGAGATACCGAGATGCCCGAAATAGGTAGATTCAGCAGATTTTCCAATAAGTACTGTAACGTTTTAAGCGTGAACTTGTTCGACTACGATGTGATAAAAGCTGCCAATTAATTAAAACTATACTTTTATTAACACTTAACTAAAATTCACTCTGATTAATTTAACTAAACACACTAACTAGTTTATGTAACGCCTTGTATCTTGTATTTATTTATAAAAGTATTCTATTCTTCAACCCGGCACTGGCGAAATCTGCCCTCGCCGCCCGACATTGTTCCTTTTATATCCGAAGCGCCTGCATCTCGAAGATTCTCTCCGCAGCACGTACGAAGCTTCGCGCTGCGTCTCGAGAATTCTCCACGCGGCCGGGAAGAGTCAGAGGCGGACTCAGGGTAATTTTCGTTACAGTACAATCTAATATAAATTTCTGACAATGTTTACTAGTGTAACGTAACTGCTAACAACATAGCATAGACGTTTATCAACAACTAAGTAAATTAAGTTTACTTGCAGTACTTGCACAAACAAATTAACATTGAATAACAAATGAAAATAATCGAATTCCGTTAGAAAAACAACACAATACAACAAATTCGCAGGGGCCAGGATCGTAATAGAAAATTCTTTGCTAATTCCGCTAATTGCAAATCTAGTAGGCTGTGCAGTGCGCTGCGTTTGACTTACGTAGGTATATGAATATATTTTAGTAGTATTTAGTAGTATATTTTTCGGGTTTGTAATTTTTTTAGTAAAACCATAGGTAGTGGTTTATTTTTTTATTTTCTGCACTTAGGGGAGCCTTTTTATAATTTATAAAAAAATTTAGAGGGGGGCAGCTGCCCCCCCCTGCCCCTCGCTGGGTACGCCCTTGGGTTCAACTCTAAATAAAGGTTTATGACAACCAGGCAAGCTGGCAACAAGTCGTTCCGATGAGGCCGCAGGGCAGATATTCATATTCCGCTCCCCTCTATAGTGTCAAGTAGTACCCCAAGGAAGAAGCATGTTGCGCTTGGGCCGACAGCTTTCTTGGCATTCGGGGTTGTAATTTATTGCGTAATATTGCAAAATAATATTGTAATAACTCGTTTTTCCGCTAAAGTAATAATAATAAAATAATAAAATAAATAGGATTCGAGTTTTATTGCAGTAATCAATATACAGTCCACTCAAGAAGAAAAAATAAGTATTTAACCTAAAAGTGAAAAGTTCAAAAAATAAAGTGAACCAGTTTAATAATACCGCATCATATATGCTGTTTCACTTCTTCCTAGTCCAGGAAACATTACACCATAATATAGTTCTAGGTGTACCCTTCATTAAAATTTAAAAAACATATTTATTCCACAAATTATTTTATTTAAAATATAGAAAAAAGAAAATACAAAAGAAAATTAACGGAAGTATTTGATACCGACTACGACCATGAATTTTTCGATGAAAATTTCGGAATCTAGCACCGCGATATGGGCCGCTCGGCCTATAAGAGCGTTGGCCGTGTTGGGCAAGGCATGGTGAATGTCGTACCTTAATAATTTCAAGTCTTTTTGGGCCATAATCGGTTGCATTATATTGTGGACCATTTTCCTGTAAATTGTACCCTGTTCGGAGGAGTCTTTTATTGATTCTTTGCATAGTTCTATTCTTGCTGAATGCAGTGGAACGTATCTATAAAGTGAAACATTTTCGAGAATATAAATAAAATTATTAGAGCACCTTACCTATCTTGTCCGGAACCACATAATAAAATATTCTTGAAATTATGCAAAGTACTTCTTTGGCTCAAATTATACAGAAACGACTGCTTTGGATCGGAAGAATCTTTCAAACAAAGCTGCAAAAGCGAGCCGGACTTTTTCCATTTCTGCATAAACCACATGCCCATATTAACTAAACCGCTACTATTATATAAAGTGCCTAAGTGTGGTCCAGAGAGTGATAGAAAAGTATGCAGTCTTGGAAGTAAAAATTTTAATTGAGGCCTCGTCAACGCCGAACGAATTATTATATTTCCTAACGAATGACCGACGAAACTTACTCGCGTCGGTCTGATACTGCTTGCGTCTAAATATTGAAGAATTTCACTAACTAATCGATCAGTCATTGTATCAAAATCACTAAAAGTATCGCCCTGATTTCTTTCAGACATTAAAAAATCTAGATAGGCTCCAGGAAGACCCATTTCCAGATAGGTTTTTACTAGTCTTAGGTCTGCTGCGTTGCCATCTAGGCCGTGAACACAAATTACTAAATGCATACCCTCTGAAACAAAATATTATTAGCATGTGTAGTAATATACCTTTGAGCTCAAAGACAATTCAAAGTAAGTAGATCAAACAGTTCAAATTGAGCACTAGGGAAAGTCCTGCGATACAGACAAATCTACCCACTGTCTGACTAACAACAATAATCAACTTGGCACTGAATTGTTTTTTGCCACAATAATTCTAAATTGTATGTGTAAAAATTAGATTTTCGTTACCTGGGGAAAATATTCGAAATTCGTCTGCAATATGAAAATACGGCACGTGCGAAGCGTAAGAATTTAAATCCGAATAAAAAATCCCTTGAAAATTTAATTGACTCTTGAATTCCCTTTTAGCTTTAAGAAATGCTTTCAACGATTCCGAATTGCCTTTATTGAAGCTGAATTCTGAGAAGAAAAAAAATCAGGTTAGTACCAATAAATTAACACAAAAACCCCATACCTTCAGACTCTTCATTTTCACAATCATTCTTTAAAGTAAATTGACTCGGTTGCGTTTCAATATTTGTTTCAAAATCAATGACGTGATAGAGCAAATTATCTACGGCATTGATTTCTTCTTCTACTTCTTCATCCACCTCATCGTTGTCTAAAAAAACACCATGTAAGTAGCAATAGTTATTGGTTAAGTTAATATCAAACCGTTATTTGTACTATTATTGGAGCTTGATGGTGATACCAAATCCCTAAATTGCCGTGGTGGAGGTAATGCAATATCATCAATAGATATTGGATTTTTTTGGTCACAGCCTTAAAATGCGTTTTTTTTTTCAAGTTAAATGTTACTATTTTTGATCAATCTTACCGTTATATAGAGGCATAATATCGTTTTCCTTGTCTTTCTTACTTTTACGTTTCAAATGATTACTATCTAAATAAACTTTGCTATTTTTAGTCTTAAATATATCTTTCCGCTTTTTAGAATCCTTACTAATATCACCCAGTTTTTTGCTTTCTTCCGATAGGCGCAATAATTCTCTCTGAATCTTATCTAGTTTCAGATCTATAGCACTTGTGGCAGGATTTGTTACATCAGTACTGGAATCAATGGAACTGCTCCTGAAATTGAGTGCTTACTAGAATTATTCAAGTAATTATTTAGTGGCTCAAAATTTGTTATAGGTACTATTGTTAGCACGGAAAGACCCTCTACATGTTAAACTCATGTCATGTCAGCAGAGCCTCGAGCAGTCATTATCAAAACTGCCTAAAGAAGAATAGGGGAAGACATTCAACGTCAAGGGTCGTTTGATAGATAAGTGTTTTATTTAGGAAATCTTCTGGATAGGAGCTTGGAGTGGAGAATCAAAAGTGACAAGCACTTGAAAATGTATCGTTAAACGAGGATTTACATTTTCAACAAGATGGTGCAAATAGTTCCTAAATTATGCCAGTTAGTTGATGGTTAAATTATCACTCAACCAATCAGTGGACCAAAAGAAGAGGTTCTCTTGAATCGGTCCCCCAGATTTATAGACTTAAGAACACTAGATTCATTTGTAGGAAACCTAAAATATTTTTGATCGGGAAGCTCGTGGGTAGACTGTTTCTGGTGGGCAACCTTAAGATATATTCTTACAAAAATAGTTCTAATAGAAGATAGTACAGGAAAGTTAAATTCTTACCTGGAAGATATCCAGCCGCTTTGCTCACTAGTCGTAGGAGAAGAACTACTATTGCTGCTGTCATAATGCGTCCTCGGTTTATGAAAATGTCGAAACTTTTCCTTCGACTTGGGACTCAAATTCGGCAATGATTCCGTGCCAGAAGACAGCAGTAACGGCAGCATGTCTTCAGATATACATGAGGTGCTACGAACTTTTCTTAAACTATCGTTCAAATTATTAGTATCAATATCATTTGACCCTGTTTTATCTGAATAGTTTTGAGGTAGGCTATCCTCTGTCGAGCTACTCGTGGAGCCTAAATCGAAAATTTTCGACTTTTGATTATGCGTTTTTGATTTTTGATTATTCGAACCATTACCATTGGTGACGTTCAAATTCTCAGTTCTTCGCGATTTTTGATTTAACGAATTAAATCTTTTGTCATTATTTGATTTGTTTTTTGATGGGGACAATGTTTGCATCGACGTCGAACGTGGTAAACTCGTAATTTCATTATGTAACGTATGACTATTTGATTTAGGTAATTTTTTATTCAATTTTTTACTAGTTCTCACTTTTTCATTCGTTGACGGACACTCGCAACAATTATTTTTATTTTCAGGCAAAAAATATTTTAAATTATATTCACTAGCCACATTTTTCATCGTTTCGATTTTATAAAATCTCGTCTGATGTCTCGCCACGTCTTTTTTCGGCACAGAATAAGTCATATTCGTCATCGATATATGAAAACTATTCGACGCTGGCGCTTGCAAATGGTCTAAAGATTTACTATGTCTCGCTGGAATCGTATTACTAAAACAGTCTTCCCATTTGTAGAGATCGGCGGTTCTTTGGAATGCTTTTTGTGGTTCCCAAACATCAAAACCACACGAACACTGATCTGTGGTTTTTGATCTTTTGAATGTTGATTGTTCTGCAAAAAAACATAAATTTAAAAATCTTAGATCTAAGAATCGCTAATAAGTAAATAACTTGCTTATTTTTCAACAAATTTGCTTATTTCCTGAAAGGAAGATTAATACAGAAAGAATTTATAAAACTTTACTGAAGTAAGGTTAAGTGGGGCAAGTGCAATTTAGGGGCAACTGCATTTTTTTAGAAAAGAGCGATTCAGTCTATTTATATCGACCTGCCTTTTTCCTTTTTGGCCATATTTCTTCTTTCCAGAAATAACGAAAGATGGTACGCAATTATAGGCGCAAAACTATACCAGAGGAATAAACGATGAAGAAGAGACTGTAAGATTTGCATTATCGGAGATAAAAAATGGCAATATTAATATAAGAAAGGCAGCAACTCTTTACCAAATACCATACAGTACACTACAGTCTTATGTTTCTGAAAGAAGAAAGGTTAAAAGTTCCACGGGAGACCGCCCACCAGCACTTTCCATGGAACATTAATCAAAATTGGCCGACTATTTGAAAATACTGGAAAAATGGGGCTTTGGGCTCTCTCGGGTAGATGTGTTCGACTGTGTGGAGAGATTTGTTAATGACAATGGGATAGAAACTTGTTTCAAAAATGGAAGACCTGGAGGAGACTGGTTTCTGAATTTCAAAAAACGCCATGGTGTGTCAGTTAAAAAACCACAAACAGTAGAGTTTTCAAGGAAAAAAATTACTGACCCATTCGTCATTCAAAGCTATTTTGATCTCCTATATAAGCAACTGACAGATCTCAATTTACTTGATAAACTAGATGCGATATGGAATTTAGATGAAACAAGTGTAGGCACCGATCCAACGAAAACAAAACTTGTTGGACAAAAAGGAAAATCTTGTTCACGAACGACAGGGGGATCAGGAAAAGAAAACATCACTTGTTTAGCTGCTGTTAATGCGGCTGGGAAAAAGGCTCTACCACTTATTATTTTTAAAGGCCTAAATGTTTGGAGCAGTTAGACTCCAGCCAGCTAGAGAAGAAGAAGGTTATCCAAATATGTCATACGCTGCTAGCAAAAATGGCTGGATCACCAGCGAAATTTTCTACAATTATTTAGAAAAAAAATTGATTCCTGAGTTTGGAAATGATCGTCCAGTGTTGCTTATCTACGATGGGCACGCAACTCATGTAACTGACAAAGTTATTTCTCTTGCAAGAGCACATGATATTACCATACTTAAATTGCCTCCGCACACTAGTCATTTACTACAACCGCTTGACTTAGGCGTATTCAAATCCTCGAAGGACAAGTGGGATCAAAAACTATGTGCTTGGCAAAGAAAACATAGTGGCTCAAGAATTCCTAAGAAGGATTTTTCCATTTTACTTGGAGAAACGTGGAAGGACCTATCATCAAACATAATCTCCAGTGGATTCCGAAAAGCGGGGATAATTCCCTTCAACAGATTTGTTGTGCCAAAAGAGAAGCTTGATAAAGAAGCCCTAAAACGTTGGGAATCTCACAACAAAAAGAATGTTCCTAGTAATATTGCAGATCCTGAGCTTCCTGAGCAGCATACTGTATCATTTGAAGACAATGTTGAACGCAGTCAACACGAGGCAATGCCTTTCTATTGGCTAACTAGTACAGGTATTCGTTTTGCACTTTGGGTATCTCCTTGTCCTTGTTCATTGCTCGTGGTCTGATAGGAATAAAAGTACGATTGATATTCAACTTGACATAGCTTGACAAGTGACATTGAAAAATTGTTTGAAGTTTTACCATTGACAAATACGTTGCACAACACGCGGTCTTTCTCCTTCCTTTTTTATCCCGTGCAAATAAGAAGAACGGATTGCTATACGTAAATCTAACATAATTTGGTACGTTTTGCCTCGTCTTGCGCAATGAGCGTTCTGTGTCTTTTTTTATCTAATGAAGTTTTCGTATTATTACGTCTTTGTCTGGTAAAATAGATAGGTCTATTTGAATTATTATAATTTGTAAACAATTGAAATAATTCTAGTGGATTTTTATCTATTCTCTTTTAGTGGTTTTTCACTGTAAAGTGAATATGGTCTTTTGGGTGTAGTCTTCTGATTGGTTGATCTGGTTAAAACGCAGTTAAGTATAAATAACACAGGCTCGTTTTCCTATAGGGATTGGTTTCTAAAACGTTCTCTTTTCCTGGCAGTAGTCTAGCAGGCGAGTCATTTTTATTTTTCATAATTTTTGCTTTACATTTTTAGATTCTCCCTTATGAACTTTTCAATAAATTTTACCATCAGTGCATATTATCATATCATTGTTAAGTTTTTACCTAATAAATCTTATCTTATCTATTCTTGAAATATAAATATTATGTTTTAATTTTTTATCTAATTGTGGGCCTCCATTTTGTGCGATTGCCGGTGGTTTCGCGTTTTTCTGAGGTAAGTCAATTCAGACTTTTGGGCTAATAAATAGGTACTGCTGCTCTGGTTTTCAGAATCAATTTTTAGTGTGGGAATATTGAATAATTTGCTCTAAATAGAGTAGGTGAAAACCAAATTTGTGTATCCATCCCTATCAACTCTTTAGTGAATCCAGGCAGAGGCCTGTATAGCCATTTTCTGTTTGACTCCATCAATTATTATCTTCTCGAGGAGAAGAGTGTTGAAAAGGGTGTAATTCTTTGAAATAGAAATCCAGACAGGTCAAAAATTCATTTAAAAAGTTTTAATTAAAACATCTCAAGAATTTTGACATATTCTGGATTTGATTGATTTCACCGTCAGGTTTATCTTGTAGTATCTATAGTAGCTACCTTAATTTAAAAGGAAAATTTTGTCTATTTGGGGGAGAATCTAAAGATTTAATTTCTTAATTTTCTATCTGATTTTGTTCATATTCTTGCCTGTTATTGTGACTGCCGGAAAAGCAGCACTCTGCTCAACCTGTAGGGAGCATTATAATTTAATCTATTTTTATGATTATTTTCCAATTATTTAATTGTATTTTTTTCACATTAAAATATATATATTTTTTTCAATTTGCAATAGTTGTTCATACCTGATTCTGTTGGAAGGAAGTGTCTGCACAATAATGGTTTTATAATAAACTAATTTCTTATTAATTTTTTTGTTCTTTAGAAGACATTCACTTTCTGACAGAATTCAGGGATTTAATATTCCAAATCTTGGTGAACCTGATACTGCCTTATTCTTTTCTGGGTACCTACTCGACATAAAGATCACTGTTTGGAGTCTGGATCAGCTGGAGTCACGTCACCCCAGCAATCTATCCTCTTCCTGGATACAGGAAACAACACGAAGAGCTCCAGTTCAACGAAAGTGAAACCCCAACATCCCTTGAAGAGCTCCGGATTGGAGAGGTACATTGTATCAGATTCACCAGAACAACCAAGCTGTCAACTGTAAAATTTTACAGAAAGTAACATTGACTGTTACTACATAACATTGTAAACAAAATAAAATAATTGTTTGTTGGATTTTGAGTGGTTTCATTTGCACATAAAGGGGCTACACGTTATTTTAATTTTTTTAAATTCCACGACCCTAGGTTCTCTTATCTTAAAGTTCAAATTACTGGGTTTATTTGTAACAGTTGTGATATTTTAAAAACCAAGTCAAACGGAGGTTCGTCATTTAAGAGTTTTAGCTTCCATTTAAAAAAGTCAAGTTACATACGGCATCTTAGAAACGGTAAGCTTGGCAACATTGGAAATACAACCAATGAATGGGGCATTCCCAAAAACCCCCAGGTAGGAAATATTGTACATTTTTCTTGAGTGCGTCCTGAAATATTAGGCCGTTCCATACATAACGACAACCCTTTATATTTGCGAAGATAACCAAGAACCTGCATGAAAGCTGTGATAATACAAATCAAGAAAAAATGCATCCAATTTTTCAGCATGAGGTCTTGGTCCTCATCGTAGAAATTAAAACAGCAGATGGAGAAACTGATAAAGTATCCTTAGGAACTGAAACTACAGACTTACTGAGGGCCAATGCAAGCACATGTCTTCAAACGTCACCGATACAAACGGGAAATCACACAAATGAGAAACAACCAGAAGTAGGGGACTTCGTTTTGACAGAATTTTTGACGAATAAAACAATAAAATGTCACATTGGCAAAGTTTTAGAGTCCCTTGAAAACAATAATTATTATGTATCATTTTTACGTCAGGTTAAAAAACTCGATTTTCAAGAACATCTCGTTTACCCACATATAGAGGATCTTTCGTTAATTACAAGTGAACAGATTGTAAGCATCCTCGAAAAGCCAATAGAAAAAAGAGGTCGTTTTTACTTCAACAATCATCTATAAGTTAAATATTTTCATGTCTAACGGCCGTATTCACCAACGACCGCTAACTGCTTATCAGTCTGATAAACTGCTTGTCAGACTGTTAACGTAAAATTCGGTATTCACCAACCTTGAGTAGTAGATATCAGTCTGATAAAGTTGTCAGGCGAAATTTGGGCTGTTAAGGAAGTTATCTGTCTGATAAGTGTTATTGTTATTGTTTTTTTTTTCAAAAAAAAATTCGAATGTATCCATAAATTGGAAAGAAATGGATGGTTCGTTAAATTTTAATTTGTGGTAGGTAGGTACTTTATAAGTTTTTATTTATTGGCAAAATGAACAGAATGGGTGAAATTGACCTGAATTTTTTTGGAGGTTCATTGGATGATCCATATATCAGATGAAGATCTTCCCAGGCCCAGAAATGTCAGGGCAAGAATGATTTATTCACTGAATAGGATGATTTGAAGTTTCATAAAAGATGCAGAATAAACAAACGTAGCTTTCAAAGGCTGAAAATAAACCTCTGAACACTGAACCTAGTCTTGGAGCCATTGCGGACGAAAGGAATAAACCAATTTAAAAGAAATAAGATTTTAATTGCAACGACGGAGTCTTTTCAACTTTGTATTGCGGTGACCATTTTAATGTTTCAGAATTTCCTTTTTGCGACCAGAAAAGTTAGCTGCTCCGTTTCTTTTTCCATTTGGTATTCGTATAAGATAGTTAATTATTATTAGACAAATTATTAGGATTAGGAAGTTGTTTACTTGTTTCACATCCCAAAAAAAGTTATTATTAATAAATAAATATAATACAGACAAATTTTGAGGTTGTTAAATGAAATGAAGAGAAAAACTGTTCATAGAAAATATGGATTTTTATATTTATCAGTCTGTTTGTTGTCAAAAGGACCATTTTTATTGGTGAATAGCACTTGCTTGTTATCCGACTGATAAATGTTAACAGACTGACAGCTATCAGATAGCTAAGTTGATTTTGGTGAATACGGGCGTAAGTAATGCCAAAACTAAAGTTTAATTTAAAAGAGAGTTGCGTTGTTTTCACTTAATATTGTTTCTATTTTTACCACCTTAAACAGTTTAAAACTTTTTGCATAATTTTTTTTTGCAGTCGAATATATATTTTTTTTGCATCTGACTATTATTTCTAATTGATTGCACAGACTAAGATAACATGCATGTATTTGGATAAAACCGTTGTTGATTGCACTTTCCCGGATTTACAGGGAAAGTGCAATAAAAGATCAGAACAAATTAAAATTAAAAAAAAAAAAACAAACTCAGTTCAAATATGGCATATCCCTAATGTCTCTATTATAATTGAAAGACTATCAGTGTAGGTGTACTTACACAAAAAATATTGCAGCCGTCTGCGAGTTTTTTTAAAATACCTAACTATCTATCGCTATAACATCGAAACTATACCAAAAAGTGACTGCACTTGCTCCACTTCACCTTACCTGAGTTAAATGATTTTTGTGATACATACTAAATCGTAAATTACAGAGAACTACCATCAAAGCATCGATAAAAGATCTACCTTTCAATTTCGTAGCATCAAAACCCTCACAATTCCTTTTATCGTAACCAAAAGGATCTTGGTATTGGTCCTCAAAAATAATGGGCATCGTGGTACTGTCTCCATCTAGAAAGCTACAATGCACGGGCAATGGTGGTAAAAGCTGCATATATTTTGACCTAAGATGCGTTCAAATAGGTATATTTAAAAAAAAATTAAGTATAAACTACCTCTTAGTTAACTCTGAAACAACCAAATATTTTTGATATTTGCTCTCGTAACAACCCAAAGCGGATTTTCTAGGATTGTGGACCAAAAAAAATAGTTCAGCAAATCTGCCCACTCTTAAATAATGATGTTTTTTACTTAAAAATTGCTGAATAGCTATTTTGCAGCTGAATGTAAGCAAAAAATAGTTCCATAATTTGATATTTCCTGCGCATAGTTCTTCTAAGTTTGACGTTGGCTTGTAGGGGTGCTTTTTCAAAAGCTACAACTTTTATTTATAATATTTTTTATCAAATTTTCAATCTACTTACCATTGTGCTGTCATAATCATTATACTTTACAATCAACGTATCATAATTATCAGAAACGATTTCTTCTCGTTGCATCAACAACAATTTATATTCTTTTATAGTAGTTTTCAGATTATTGCTTGAATCTAGAAGAACGTTGTAGGCCTCTAAATGTACTTGGGTAGATTCGTTAATTCTATTATAAAATTTTTGACTGCTCACTTGCGGGACGGGATCGGTTAACGTAGAACAGTTGGTTGTGCGTATTTTACTCCAGGATTTCGAAGTTTTTGGAGCACTAAAAATATGCTTTGTTCGTTTGGAACCAAATGAATATAAAAGAGTTACTCACCAACTTTGCACATAACGGAGTAATCCTCTTCTACAAATAAAAAGTAAGTGAGGCCTTGTCAAACTATGAATTTTAATACCTATACTTACTTCAGAGATGGTTGAACCAAGGCAGTAAGTGAAGCATGAATACTAATCGAAACGGCCGATAGATGGAAATAATCGAAAACCACTGGCAAGTGATAGTGAAGGCCTTCGACTGGCGAAAAGTTGAGTTGCAAAGTTCTAGACGACACTAATTGCATATTACTCAGTGACGTATCGCTAAACCATAAGTCGAGCAACAAAGAAAAGTCAGCTCTATCTAGTGATTCGCGAAGATTATGGGCATCCACCAGCATGTGACATCTATATAAGAAGAACACATAGATAATGAAAATTGTTGTTGGCTATAACTTATCTAATAAGATTTTACAGGCTCTAGGTTTCTGTGTTTCATTGATTAATTAATGCTGATTTGAATTTAGTTTGGAAAAAAACCTTTTTGGCGACAAGTCTGCCTACAAACTAATTGAAAGTTAATTCGCTCCTTTATACGCATTTCGATCGATATCGTTCGAGATTTAGACGGTTGCGAGGATTCTAGAAACTGTTAACTATGTCAATAATGATTGTGTACGTAGTATTCTCCAGTGTAGTTTCATGCTCAGTATAAAATTCAATTATCTTTTTTTTTTCTTTAGAATCTGAGCCATTAATAAATAAAACACAGAATGAAAAAGAGAAAGCCGAAAGGGTCCCGGCCTGCAGAGATTCCATGGAATGCCAGCGGAAATTCCAGGAGATTATTGGCGATAGGGGGAATGTGACATCCGCAATAAGTCCGGATTAATTGGGATATTAGGCTGTGAGGTGAGCGAAAGGAAAGGAGAGAAGTATTATTTGTGAGTGATATTGACGTGGGCGATGGAAAGAATTTATTCTACGGATCAAGGAGAAATATTAAAGTCTGTTCTTACCTAAATAGAACCACATCTTTCAACGATATTTCCTCGTTTCTGTAAAGTATTTTGAAAGGTCTACATGCGCCATAATTTCCGAGAACTATAGCTGATCCTAGACCGGTAGTAACTTCTGGAGTTGCTACTTCAACTTCGGCGCCCAATTTAGCCGATACTCGTAAGGAACATCGAATTTGGTAAACCCTTGAATGGTTTATTTAGAAAAGTCTTGTTAAAAAGTTGTAATTTTACTTACCCCCTTTGAAATAGGTCGACATTGTAGAATTTATACAGCTCGACAGAAAACTCTATGGTTGACTGCAGCTCACTCATAATATTCCAAAAGTTTTGCAGCTACATCCCTGAAAAATATTTATGTAATAATAATTTTGACCCAAAAATACCCATATTCGAGAAATAGGTTTCATATCATAGACCAACGGAACTGTTCAATTTCGTCTGATATATTTCTATCTCCTAGATTTGAATCGGGGAGGATCTTGCAAGCAAATATCCCATTTTCAATTGTGATCGCCGCCGGGTTAGAGTAAATATTGATTTTTATATTTGCATTTCAACGCTTGACTTAGGCAATCAAAACCAAGGGCTTAATTGCAATAGTGTCACGGCTCTGGGGTGCGGGACAGAAATCTTGGGTTCGTTTATTTCAAAATCAAAGTTCAATTAACACAACGATAATTTATTTCACCTTACTACACACTCCGACACTAATTAACTCAAACAACTTAACTCTTTACAATTCATTATCTAAATCGTATCACAGTCAATCTTAAACTTAAAAACTACTCACTAATACCGGCCTTTATATATCCGTAATCCATTCTTGTACAATCCAGAATAAACGCGATAGAGTCTTTTCCTGAATGAATCAGTATTTTCTAGATTCCAAGTTGGATTCTGTACATGCTAGCGAACGCGCCACACTGCCCTTCTCTTAAGGTTGATCGTCCCGATCAGCTTCGCGCCCATGATATTTCGTCAATCTGTCCAAATGTACAACTTTCATCTTACTCCTGCCTGGTGTTACGCTGAACTCGATAAACTAAATCATTGATCCTCTTGATTATTCTCTAGGGTCCTTCCCATGTTGAAGACAATTTTTGCGACTCTCCTTTCCTTCTTGCTGGATTATACAGCCACACTAAATCACCTTCTTGAAATCTGGCTGAATTGGCTTTCAAGTCGTATCTGGTCTTCATTCGGTCACTTAAAAGCTGAATATACTCCCGAGTTAAATCGTGTATTCCCAGAAGTCTTGCCCTTAATTCGTCGACATAATCTCGAATTTCTTTTCGTTCTTCTTCAGGTATTCCAAACATCAGATCGTAAGGGACGCAAGGTAACCTGAGTTCCCTTCCAAAAACGATTCTATAGCTGGACTTTCACCTGTCGACTCGTGAACAGCTGCTCTGTAAGCCATTAAAAATAGAGGCATGTGTTTGCCCAATCTCGCTGGTTCTTTGCGACCACTTTTGTCAGGTGTTCCTCTATAGTTTTTTTAATCGTTCTACCATGCCATCAGACTGTGGATGTAAAGGTGCTATCCTTGTCTTACAAATGCCCATGATCTCACAAATTTTCTTAAAGATGGCAGATTCGAAGTTTCGTCCCTGATCTGAATGCAACTAGTGGCACACTATGATGACTGAAAACTTCGTTTACTAGCACCTGGGCAATCGTGATGGCTTCTTGATTGGGAATATCGAAAACTTCTGGCCATTTACTGGAGTAATCCATGATAATCAAGATGTACTTATTACCATGGGAGACCGACGTTGCACTGTTTCATGGGCCCCCGAGATCTTAGTTGAGGACCTTTACTGGTAGCACAGATGTCGCATTTTTTTAACGTCTTCTTGATAGTGAACTTAGTAAAAACGTTCCCGAATTTTGTCCAGAGTCTTGTTAACTCCAGTCCAAAATGTGCCCCTGAATACTCGATTTTTTGGAATAACCATCGGCACTTTCCCAAATTCTTTTCAGTAAGCCATTTTCTACGGCCAAAGAATTCCACTGACTGAGCCCACAACGCCTTATAAATCAAACTCTTGTTCGACGCTTCCCTCCATTTCTGGCCTACATTCACCATTTTCTTTAAGATGTAGAAATTGCCCGATGTCCTGGTCTGCTTCTTGATCTGCTCATTTGTTTGGTAGTCCATTTATTTTCAACGATCAGACATGTTCTTCTCACAACCAAACCAGTGTTTTTCTCATGCATGTTTCCAGGTCGATATTTAGGGCTGGCGACTCTAGATATCCAAAAGCATTGGGAACGATCCCTAGATGGAGAGGACGCATCCTCAGTCTACAATCCCATTGCATATGTCCAAGCTTTTGGCACCGGTAACATATTACTCGGTTTCTCGGTGTTGGTGTTTGTTTGGAGTCGTTTTCCATTTGTCTAATTTCTAGTACTAGTTTCTCCATTTTCTCCATGAACTTACTCATAAGATTCTCGAACCTACCATCTTTTGACGATTGTTTATCCTTTGAGTCTTCAATGGATACTGCTTGTATTCTGGGTCGCGAGGCACCACAGATCGCTTCCAGTTCCAGTGCTCGGACAAGGACTTCGCTACTTTTCCTGAACCTAGACATTCTCAGGTTTTCCTGGATCTTGGAAACTCTGAGATCTTCCCCAGCTGCAGGAAACGCCGAACTCACTAGCCTTTTAACTTCCGATTCGAATTCTTGTAAACTCTCGCCGGGTTTTTGAATTCTTGATTGACCTTGAGTTCTAAATACTTCTTCTCTGTAATGGTCTCCGAAGCGCAATTCTAATGTCTGACTTAGATGCTGGTAATTCTGTTGGTATATTGAAGGAATGGACTGAAGAAGCTCGACAATAGCTCGAGCTGTCGTACCGGACGGTCGTGTTCGGCAGCTCCGAGAGTTTTGCAAATTTGTTTTGTTTTGATTTGTTTTGAATTGATTTGTTTTGTTTTGCATCACATCGTTGTGTTCGTTTTCGTTGTGCGTGTATTTTTGTAAACTTGGCCTAATTACCTTGCCATTGATCTAGTTCTTCAAAGTTAAAGTTCAATGCAATTTGTGTTTGTTTATGTTGCATTTACAGAAACTTTAGAGAATAAAAATTAAAATGGAGAGGTTTTGTTCAAAATGTTTTAAAAGTTGCGTGCATAAGGCCCGTCCAGCTGAAAATGAATTATTTGGAGCAACATGTGACTCTTGTAAGTTACTTTATTGTAAAAGCTGTGCAGAACTTAAGACAACTGAAGCTCACACATTAGCCCTCAGTGAAAGAGTTTTATTATTTTACTGTCAATCTTGTAAAGATGAATTTAGAAATATGTGTTTTAATGAAGAAAAATTGGAGAAGTTATTTAACGAAAACAAAAGACTAAATGAAGTAATAGAGCTTTTGGAGAGTGAACATGAAGATTCCGTCGCAAAACTAAAAAAGCAGATTACTGAATTAAACGAAGTTATTATTGCGAAAGATGATATTCTGCAACGAGAGAGAAGGAAAACCATAAACTTTCAGGACGATGTTTTTTCTGTTGAAAATTCACTGGAAGAAAAAATCAAGAGTCAAGAAAAAATTATTAGAACTTTAGAAAGGGAAATTGTTGGCACAAAGAAAGATATTACTATACATCAAAAGAAATATGAAGAAGTTCTAGTGAAAAATAAAAGTCTAGATAAAAAAATCGAAAAGATTAAACTATCTAGTAAATCTGACACCAAACGTATTGATGAACTGATACAGAGAAACGAGAATTTGCAGCAGATAATAGTGGAGGAAGATGAGAAACGTGATAAACTGGTAAAAGAGCTAGATGATTTGAAGTCAATGAAAAATCAAATGCTAACAACAATTAGTACACTTGAGAATGATAATGATGTATATGCTAGTGAGAATAAAAAGATCAACAAAGAATTATTCCAGTTCAAGCAGCGTAAAGTTTCGAAAAAGGATTATCAAAAAAGTCAATCCGATGGTAATATTGCTGACATAAGTGCTATAAACTCGCTTGTTAATTTAAGAAAGGTTAAAAATTCTAAGAATAAGATTGTTATTTTAACTGATGACTTTGGAAGAATGTTATATGATGCTATAGACAAATCAATGGGGGACAACTATGTAACTCAGCTGGTGACAAAACCTTATACTACAATAAGGGATATTATACATAGTTCATAGTGAAGGATTTGACCGATAAGGACTATGTTGTTTTAATAGCAGGACTTAACGACACTGATATCCGAAAAGATGAGACATAATATTGCTGTCAAATAAGTGTTTTAGAACGAATTTGTTAGTCTGCAACCTCCCATATAAAAATAACTATGGCAAGAAATGTTTGTTTGTTAGGAATGTAAATCAAAAATTTTCTCTATCAACATAGGTTTTTTGGATTTGGTTGGTAATTTTTCTCATGGAGATTTTTGTATGAATTCTAACTTTTATTTAAATAAGTACGGATTGTTTAAGACTGGAAAATTGATAAAACAGTGTGTTCATAACTTTAATGTAAAAAGCATAACAAATCTTAAATATGTCCCAATAGATGATAATATCTTAAGTATTAATGACGACACTATTTCAAAGGGTAATAATTTTCCAGAGGTAAATTTTTTAGACCAACCTCTTCCACAAACTGCGCAAGCGCGGCACAAAACATAAAAAATAATAACGCCGCCGTCTCCGTATTTCTAATTAATATACAATCGCTAAGGAATAAACTTGATGATTTATATCTGCTCTTGGAAGATAACAATTTTCCAGCTTTCTTACTTATAACTGAGCATTGGCTAGCAGAAAATGAACCATTTTGTATTGAAAATTATACTCTGGTGTCTCTCTATTGTAGAAATAGTAAAACTCATGGTGGAACTGCTATTCTTGTCAATAAGACATTTTTACAATCCTTTGATGTTACCCCCATAACAAAGTTTAATACCCTTTTAATTGAAAATGTTTTTGAATTCTCCTTGTTATATAACAAAAAGAATAATTTATATATTTTGTGTATATACAGGCCCCCCTATTATTCAAACTTAAAGCAATACTTTGAAAATCTTGAAATTCTTTTATCAAAACTGCCACCCAAGGCAGGTTTGATACTAGGGGGAGACCTTAATATAAATTTTGATGATGACAGATCAGAGGCATAGCAAATTCTGTCTAACTTGTTTTTATCATTTGACCTAGAGATGTATGTTAACGAACCTACTAGAATAACTGTTCATTCTCAAACCAAAATCGATTATCTGTGTTCAAATTTTGTCTTAAAGCAAATGTTTGTTAGCTGTAGTGTAATTCCTGTAGGCATTTCGGATCACGAGGCAGTTTTAGCAAAATTTCAACTTGCGAT